GCGCCGCGGGCGCCTCGTCGCCGTTGTTCTCGGGCTCAGAGCTCTCGTCGTTGCGAGTGCTGTCGTCGGTCCGGCCCAGCCCGCTGTCCTTCTCGTGCTGGTTGGACAGGATGGTGGCGGTGTCTGTGGTGCCCCCGTCCTCCTCCTGCGGCTTCTGCACAAGGGAAATCGGGGACAGCGCTGCGGAGGGCCGCTCCGTACCGCCGCGGGCGCCTCGTCGCCGTTGTTCTCGGGCTCAGAGCTCTCGTCGTTGCGAGTGCTGTCGTCGGTCCGGCCCAGCCCGCTGTCCTTCTCGTGCTGGTTGGACAGGATGGTGGCGGTGTCTGTGGTGCCCCCGTCCTCCTCCTGCGGCTTCTGCACAAGGGAAATCGGGGACAGCGCTGCGGAGGGCCGCTCCGTACCCCCCGGGCGTCCTGCTGGCCAGGCGGAGTTAGCCAGGCATGCCTGGACCTGCCAGCCCGACCCTGCGGGGTCACCTCACCACGCTGGACCCCGCAGGGCCGGCTCTAGCTCACCACGGCCACTGGGGTGATGTGGGGACACAGAGGAAGTGGGAGGGTGCTGAGCCGCTCAGGCCACTGGCCTGCGTGACCCTCGTCTCTGAGCTGCGCAGCGCTGCCCGCCCGTGTGTCCACAGCAGGCTGGGAGGCCAGCAGCCCCCGCCTTGCTGCTGCGCCCCAGATGGCCGGTGAGCTTAGGGTGGGGAGGGCACTGCAGCGGGGCCTCCCAGGCGAACGGATGGCTCTCGGTGGCCTTCCCAGCAGGGTGCCTGCCACCCACCCAGGGCAGGCTCTCCCGCAGCTCCGAGGGCGGGGCCGGCCGCCTACCTGGGGGAGCACGCTGGCTGTGACCCGCATGGCCTGGTGGTGCTGCTCCTCCAGCATGTCCAAGTGCAGGTCGTCCAGAAAATCGTTTCTGTCGTCGTCCATCCAGGCCTCGTCCAGCTGGGGAAAGTGGCAGTGACACGGCCTCAGAAGACAGGCCTTCGCCTTCATTCGCCCCGTTTGTTTTTAGAAAAGAAAATCCCTGGGAAAGGCCTTCCTGGGCCACCTGGCCGCTGTGCTGTCCGCCGGGACCCGGGCCCGCCCCCCGTCCACGCACGCCACGCAGGGTCCTTGCACAGCCCGTGGGCCAAATCCGGCCTCTTGTTTTTGTTCAATAAAAAGTTTGTTGGCCCATGTTTCTCTCGTTTTTAAAAAGAAAAGTGAATGACAGTCAAGGCGGGCTCCGCGACTCGTGCAGACACACGTGGTGCAATGATGAGCCCAGCTCCGGACGTCACCTCACGGTCACTATTGTTTTGTGATGGGAGCACCTGAAATTTACTCTCAGCCAAATTCCAGCTGTCAGTCCAGTCCTAATGACCGCTGTCCCCATCCTGTACCGTCCCTGCCACTGCGAGGGAGACACATGGTCCCGGCTGGAGCACCCCCAGGCCCCAATGGCAAACGTCTGCATGGCCGTGACCCTGGCGGGGGTCCCCATCCCCCTCTCCTTCACAGGGTCCCTGTGCTACTGGACTTGTTGGGCCCCAGTGTAGGTGCCAAGAGTGTCAGCACCAGCCTTGGAGATTAAAACACAAAGCAGCTTCTGAGTCACAGCTGTGAGACCACCTTTCCAGGTACAATGTGCCTGAAGGCTCAGACTTCATACGCACACAACGTCCTGTAGGGTAGGGGTCCCCAACCCCGAGGCTGCGGACCAGTACCGGTCCCTGGCCTGTTAGGAACCGGGCCGCGCAGCAGGAGATGAGCGGTAGGTGAGCGAGCGAAGCTTCATCTGCATGTGCAGCTGCCCCCCAGAGCCGGCATCACCGCCTCGGCTCCGCCTCAGGTCATCAGGGGTTAGATGCTCACGGGAGCCCCGGTCCCTGGTGCCACAAAGGTCAGGGACGGCTGCTGTAGGGGCTTCTGAGGAGAAACACAGACCCAGCTTCGGGCGCAAGACGCGGACTCACCTGGAGCTCGGGCCGCGCGATCAGCAAGCTGAAGCTCTTGTCCTTGCTGGCGAGGGCGGCCACGGCCTGCTCTCGGTTGTGCACCGCTAGCCCGTTGATCTTAGAGGAGGAGGAGGAGGTGGGGGTGACAAATGCGTCATGAGATCGGGCAAAGCCACTCCACGCTGCTCCCGCTGGGACCGCTCGCAGCTAGGGCCCAGGACTTCCACGGGCTTGGGCGGGACGCTGGCATTCAGAGGGAAGGGCCCGCCCAGATCGATGCAGCCCAGGACGGAGTCCCCCGACCACGGTGAGTGCGCAGTGGAAGCCGTGGGAACAGAAGTGGCCAGGACCCCAGGAGCGGCACCGAGAAAAATCGCAGTGCTGTGAAGAAGGGGTGTCTGAGCAGCGTCGCCGGACGGCATGGTCTGGCAGGAGTGTGTGTGAGCGGAACGTACTGACGTGTCACGAAGGGTATTTTTGGGTAAAGCAAGAGCAGCGGGACAGGTCTGGGGGTGCAGTGGGACAGGTCTGGGGGTGCCGCGGCAGTCGAGGGCAGAGAAGGAAACAGAGCTGTGCAGGCCGGTCCGCGCCCCAGTGGGCACTCCTGCTTCTTTAGGCGGGACGGGTCAGGCGTGACGACCTCTCTCGCCATCACGCCCGAGTACCCCGCATGGGTTTCTGCTCCTTGCCCCGGAAACTCTGAGCTCAGGCAGCGACGGGGTGACTCCCACTGGGGGCGATGGGTCTCGGTGACAAGGAGACACGTGGAGGCGGTGAGGGCCATGTGGGGACCCAGCACCTCCCTGCCCACAGGGAGTGTGGGCAGAAAACAACAGCACCCCGAAAGGAAGGGACCTTCGAAGTGCAGCTCTGGGTCGCCCGCCAGACGGACCCTGAGCAGGGAGGTGTGGGCGGAAGGCTGAGGACATGTAGACCACAGTCGCTCCCAGGGACAAAGCTGCGGGTGCCCGCCGGGCCGGGGCAGAGCCGAGCTCGCGGGATGCGCTGAACTCAGTGCCTGGGTTCCCGTGCGGCTCGGACGCTGGCCGACGGGAGCGTCTCATTTTGGTTCGAAAGAGCAACAGGGCTGGGGGAGGGGGCAGGACCCCGAGAAGCCAGTCTGCTTAACGGTTAAACGCCGAGTCCCAGAAAGTGAAAACCTTCTCGATCGATTTCACTACCTTTTCCGAAAACATTCCCGTTTTAAAGACAAAACCAAACCTGAAGTCCTCGGTCCAGCACTAAGCCCTCCGAGACCCTACCTTTTCCGAAAACATTCCCGTTTTAAAGACAATGAAGCCCTCGGTCCAGCACTAACCCTTCCGAGACTCCTGAAACGGCAGTGCTCAGGTTCCCAAGTCACACGCCCGTCGTGGGGAGACCTACTCCCGAGTCGTCTGGGGTGCCGGGCAGGACTGCTGCGGGTGCCCTCCCGCCCGCTCAGGCCTCTGCTGCCTGGTGCACGTCACTGCCCACAGCCGAGCTCCCCGTCACCCCACGTCTGGCCGGCACCCGCTCGTACCCCTCGAGCTTGTTGGAACTGGCCTGCTCTTTCTGGAGAGGCAGCGGGCAAGGCCAGCGGCCAGAAGCCGACCTACCTGAATGATGCGGTCTCCTTCCCGGATGCGCCCGTCCTTGGCCGCGATGCCGTGCGGGTCGATCTGGAACACACAGCACGCATCTCAGCGCCAGGCAGACACCTCGACACGCATGACAACGGCTGTGCCCCACAGCCATGCCCACCCCTTCGTCCTCGCTGGGCACAGAAACAGACCAGACTCGGTGGGCGGCCAGATGAGGCCTCCCGTCCCCTCGGCTGGGCACACGAAACCACGCGGACGGCTCCACCTCACAGCCCACCTTGGCTTCTCCGCGTCCCGTGCCAGCACCGACCCCGAGCCCGGTAAAGGCTGCAGCTCCGCCGAGCATGATGCAGGGGACAGAGAGGCATCTGCGTCTTTCCCCAGGGTGCTCAGTGAGCCAGAGGCAGGGCTGGCTAACTCATAAGAGGGGACAGTGAACACCTCGTCGGGTCTCGCCCACCTACCTCGCTCACGAAAATCCCAATGTCGTCCTCGTCGTCTGTGCGGTAGCACACCGTGAGCCCCAGCTTGTCCTGGCTGCTCGTCCTGCACAGAGCCACTTCCTGACAGAGAAAGGGGTCCCCAGTGAGGCCCTGCGGGCAGTGCCAGCAGGACAACTTCCGATGCTTTAAAAATACTGTGTTTAACTAACGAACCGAGGCTCTGTGGTCAACCGCTGGGAGGGCCCACCACGCGCGGGCCAGCACCCAGGGCGTTTCCGGGCGTCCGCTCAACATCGAGTCGCTCTGAGAACAGTTATCTTATGGATCCCCCCCCAAAATGATCAGCATCAGGACTTTTGGGGCAGGCTTTTAAAAGGCATGCTTTCGGGGTCCGCCAGACAGGACGATCCCACGGCCCTGGCCGGCCAGCCGTTTCACTGCGGCCGTTTCCAACGTGTTTGGTTACATTGTTTCACGCTGTCACCTTCATGTTCACAGTGACAGAAAGTGCGAACTGATCACACACACACTGATCCAAGGAAGGAGGGTGACGTGACAGGGTGCCACGGATGCTTTTCCACGGCAGCCGTGGCATTTACGCTCGAGAGATGAGTTTCAGCCGCTATCACTGCACATTAAATACAAACGATGATCCCCAGTGTGAGACGCATCACGCAGGGGCACTGCCGCGTCTGCCGGGGAGTCTGTGCTGCGGGGTGAAGTCAGAACTTAAAAGCCGGTCGGAGCCTTGGGAAGTTTGCGACGGCCCTGACGGCGTCTCTGGGGACCGAGCAATCCGTCTCCGGGCTCTTCCTGGAGGGTGGCAGAGTGCAGTTGTCAGTGGTGAACTCAGATCGGCTGTGTGACAGGCAGTTCCTTACCCCTCCCTGTGAAGGGCAGGTGCCCAGAACCACGAGCACTGCAGGCAGAACGGCAGGTACCAAGGGCCTGGGATGGGACCAAAGCTCTGTGCAGGGTATTGAGTGTGGGATGGGAGGCGGGGCTGAGCATGGGAG